GGGAGGCTGAGGCAGGAGAATGGCGTGAACCTGGGAGGCGGAGCTTGCAGTGAGCTGAGATCCGGCCACTGCACTCCAGCCTGGACTAGAGAGCCAGACTCCGTCTCAAAAAAAAAAAAAAAAGAAAAAGAAAACCAAATAGCACATGTTCTCACTTACAAATGGGAGCTATATGATGAGAACTCATGGATGCAAAGCGGGAAACAACAGACGCTGGGGCCTCCTTGAAGGTGAAAGGTGGGCGGAGGGAGAGGATCCAAAAAAATAACTTGTGTACTAGGGCTTAGTACCTTGGTAACAAAATGATCTGTACGACAAACCTCCGTGACACGAGTTTACCTGTTTACCTGTATAACAAACCTGCGTGTGTACCCCGAACCTAAAATAAAAGTTTAAAACAAACAAGCAGTAACATTTATTAATCACGGTAGAATTCTCTCTGACTCACTCCCAACCTGTGGTCTCGCTATGGCAGAGAGCGAGGGATCTCAGCAGAAATCATTCAGCTTAAATGTGTTTCGCTGGAGATATGTCTTCATTGGCCTCTACCTGTAGTGATAGGATCTATTGCCTGCCCTTTGGAAGCATTCTGAATGAGTTTGTGTGTGACTCCAGAAATAGAACGTGGTCCTTTATGGTAAATTCTAGATGTTTACGCCTGAAATAGCTTTTGCATTCTTGTACTTTGGGCTGAATATGGTTAACATATGGTTACCCTGCATATGATTGCTGATGAAGATTGAAATGTATGTGTATCAGGCAAATACCATGTTACTATCAGTCTCAAAGTTGCAGCACAGATTGTCAAAGCCTGGGTTTTTCTTTCTGGGCGTTATTGATAAAATTAGCCATTTGAGTCTCATGTTAGCGCTTATGTGGCATTTTTTGTTGTTACGCATTTCTGTTTGTTTTTCCTTTAATTTTTTTTTTTAAATTTAATGAAACATTTTCCATCTCTCTTCCTAGCAGATTCAAGCCCCAGTAAGACAACAGCCAAAGGTTCAGACAACCCCACCTCCTGCCGTCCAGGGACAGAAAGTTGGATCTCTCACTCCACCCTCATCCCCCAAAACCCAGCGTGCTGGGCACAGGCGTATTCTCAGTGACGTAACCCACAGTGCCGTCTTTGGGGTCCCTGCCAGCAAATCAACCCAGCTGCTCCAGGCAGCTGCAGCTGAGGCCAGTCTCAATAAGTCCAAGTATGTGGTGCTTCCTCTTTGTCGTTCTTACCTCTGTGAGCGAGGTCTGCCTGCGGCTGCTAGTGTGTGATTCTTTGCGTAAGTGTGTAGATGTGTGTAATGCAAATACAGTGGTGTGTATTTGTGTGTGTTTGTTTAATTATTTCTGGTGTGTTTATTTTTCTGGCTTCTTGCATGTACATACATACATCTTGCACGTACTTGTGTTTAATGAGCAACTGTGAATTTGTCTTTAGTGCATGGGCCATACTAATCTTAAGAAGTCTTTTCCTACTTGGCCCACTGTTCTCATTCTCTCACCTGTTCCATGCTCTTCAGTGTGCTTTCTGAACTCTCGATCTGACCGAGTCTCTCCATGCTGAAAATCTTTCATTGGCTCCTCATTACCTGTCAGATGATAGCTGAGCACCCTGCTTAACATAGAGGGCCTGTTGTGTTTCACAGGCAGACCTGCCACTCTTCACCTTCCCGAGCCCTTTGTTCCTCCTATGCCCTCTCCTGGAACTGCCACGCTCCTCCTTGCCCACCTAGGGAATGTTCATTTATTCATCAAGATCCATGTCAGAGGTTGACTTCTCCTTGACCCTTCTCTGATATGATGTATAATTGCTATCTGAACCTTTTTTTGAGCTTGTATGACATTGTATTGTCATTCATTATTTGTATGTCTGATTGAACTCGTTTGTGACAACAACCATGTCTTAGTCAACCTTTGGAAACCCAGTGACTGGTTCCGTGCCTGACGAGTAGATTTTGATGAGTGTTGAGTAAATGCAATTTCAGACCCTTAACTGTCTTGGAACCATGCGCTCTAAAGTTAACATCTTTCAATGAAGTTAAGAGAGACTTTATAAGAAAATAATATAATGATACTTAGATGCACAAAGTAGTGTTAACTGTCTTTATTTCTTTTTAATTGTGATGGTGGCCCTTAACTCTATGCATGCTGGATCCTGAGAGATGAGAGGCAGCCTAACTAGACCTCTTTCCTGCCCCTCTAGGGATCAGTTATTATAGATGTTATAGTGGTCACCACAAGGTACACAAGTCTAAGAACAGGTTGCTTTTAGATCCTGAACTGAAACAACTTGCGGGTAAGACTAAAAAGCTAAGCAAGAGATTAAGGAAGTAGTGGGAGGTAGTGAGTCATGAAGGAAAGGAGACATTCATTTCATAAAGTGGAATGGGTATCTGTGGAAATTGTTCAGGTGCTGTGGAAAGCCCTTTTAGGAAAACAGTGTGGGCCGGGCACAGTGGCTCATGCCTGTAATGCTAGCACTTTGGGAGTCCAAGGCGGGTGGATCACCTGAGATCAGGAGTTCAAGACCAGCCTGGCCAACATGGTGAAACCTTGTCCTACTAAAAATACAAAAATTAGCCAGGCGTGGTGGCATGCGCCTGTAATCCCAGCTACTCAGGAGGCTGAGGCAGGAGGATCGCTTGAACCAGGGAGATGGAGGTTTCAGTGAGTCGAGATCACACCATTGTATTCCAGCCTGGGTGAAAGAGCAAAACTCTACCTTAAAAAAAAAAAAAAAAAAAATACTGCGGTGGAAAATGAAGGTTTGACCTGGAAAATGAAGGTTTGACCCAGAAAAGAATTTGATCCTGAAACAAAGAGAAAATAAGTTGACCCTTTTTGTTTTGTTCAACTTTTATATCTTTTTGTTTCGTGGGGGTGGGAACCTACCTAGGTCTGCAACCACCACTCCATCAGGCTCTCCTCGGACCTCTCAACAAAACGTTTATAATCCTTCAGAAGGTTCTACGTGGAATCCCTTCGATGACGATAATTTCTCCAAACTCACAGCTGAAGAACTGCTAAACAAGGACTTTGCCAAGCTGGGGGAAGGTGAGTAAGCTGTGTCTTTTTTTGTGCTTCTTGATTGTAAGAAATAACCAGGAATGAGAAAGAATCGTAACTCTAGAAGGGTATGCATGTGAAAACGTAGGCTTGGGCCTTTCCATAAGGCTTGATTTCAAAGTATGCATACAAATTGGTTTTTATTTTTACCATGGCCTTGAAGTCCTCATCTTCAGGAAATCCTGATCTATTGTGGGTGGCAGCAAGGAGAGTGTGATGCTTAGGGAAGAAACTTGTAGGAAAGGTTTGTGACGTAGTCCAGGATAACAGCATCAGGCATGGTCCCTCCTTGGAGGAGTGTGATGCTTCCCTCATCCTAGGTTGGTTTATTGTCCCAGAAAGTTGGCACCGCTTGTCCATGAATGTGCCTTCACATGGACACTGAATCTTTCTTTCACTATGATCAGAATTCTGTATTACTGTATTACACAGAAAGATGATTTAAATAGAAGATATGCTTCTGCCTGAAGAACAGTCTACTTTAGAAGGCAGGACACACACACACACACACACAGAGGCACATGCACACACTTTGGAATAAATTCTAACATGCATAATTCTAATAATTCTAATAATGTTAGCGAGTACTCTAATAAAAAGAGTATACTCAATGTAGGTAAGGGCACAGGGTAAAGGAGTGATGAGAACCAATTGAGTGGTATGAACTATTGGCCAAACATTTTGGCTTTAACTGTCATTTAATAGAAATCTTTTAAAACTCCAAGGCCAGCTGTAGTGGCTTGCGCCCGTAACCCAGTGCTTTGGGAGGCTGAGGCAAGAGAATCACTTGAGCCCAGGAATTCAAGATCGGCCTGGGAAACATGCCAAGATCCCATCTCTACAAAAAATTTAAAAAATTAGCTGGGCATCTTGGCACACATCTGTAGTCCCAGCTACTTGGGAGGCTGAGGCGAAAGGATCACTTGAGCCCAAGAGGTCGAGGCTGCAGTGGGCTATGAATTTACCCCTGCACTCTAGCCTGGGTGACAGAGTGAGACCTTGTCTGTTAAAAAAAATTCCTATTACTTTCTTGTTTTTTTAAACAGAAGACAGGGCATAGTACTTAACTTTCTTTGGCAACTTTGTTTCATTGTTATGTATACCAGTTGTTATTCTGGACTGTAAATAGAAATACCTCCCTAGGCTATTGAAAACTGAAAACTGTAGTATTTTTGCACCCAAATAACTAGCCCCTGAATTTTACTAATTTCCTCCCCCTTTTCTTACCGTTCAGCTGTCAGCTTTCACATTAAGCTACTGTCATTATGCTTGTCCCTCATAACATCTCATTATTGCCATCTCCACCGCTCCCTCTTCTCATTTACTCTCCTAAACTGCTTCCAACGTGGAAAGCAGATCATCAAACTCATTAGAGCTATATAAAGTGGATAGATTACAAGTGAGGGTGGGAAGCATTCAATGTACAGTTCCGTAGTGTTAAGTACATTCACGCTGTTGTGCAACCAACCAATCTCCAGAACCCTTTTCATCTTGCAAAACTGATGATATGCTCTCTTTTGATTCTTAACAATCTCCTTTTTTTTTTCTCAGCTGTTCTCTCGGTTATTGCACTGACTAGACAAGGACCTTTGAATGTGTCGCCATAATGCAGTAAAAGTAGTCAAGTCCAGAAGTCAGTTCAGAGAATGCCCCTCGCCTCTGCCGTGTGTGTGCCTCACAAGATTCTGCTAGAATGAACTGAGTGGTGTTTTGTCTCCCCAGGCAAACATCCTGAGAAGCTTGGAGGCTCAGCTGAGAGTTTGATCCCAGGCTTTCAATCAACCCAAGGTGATGCTTTTGCTACGACCTCATTTTCTGCTGGAACTGGTTAGTATGGCAAATAGCTGGAACATGAGGTTCACTGTTGTTACCTTCACACTGTTTTTCACTCCACAGATATCTCTAGCATGCTAGTGAAACCCAAATCCTGGCAGTAACATGTATATATATATATATTTTTTTTTTTTCATGGTCTATTTAATTTAAAACTTACTTTTTTTAATTGAAAAGGTTTCTGATCAAAAAGGGATAAAGATCCAGGACCACTTTAAATTAAAGTGGCAGGACAGTCTGGCAGTAATGTGCAGGACTTGTTCTCTCTAGTCCACAGGCACGTCTTAAACAAGTATTTCTAGATTTGAGAAACACCCAATGTTCATTGCTTGTCATTTCTTAGGTTTCTGAGATGACTTGAAGAATTTTAAAAATTAAATGTTCTGTTATATCTAACACTCCTCTAAACTGTGTGTGTGTGTGTGTGTGTGGGCACGTGCACGTGCTGTTGGGAAGAAGGAGAGAGGTGTTTTTTTAATGAGACTTCTAAAAAAGGAGGGAGGTATTCTTTTAGTGAGACTTTGTTAAAAGTATAGAAGCAATCATAAGAGACAAACTTTTCCCTTCTATTAATAAAAAATTATACATTTTTATTGTATAAAAGTTAGTAATTCATAGGGAAGAAAGTTAAAATTCTCCATGACCTCACCACCAAGAGATAGCCCAGGGATACCATCTTGATGTCTGTTAGTGGCATTTGACCTTTCGAGAGGCACAGATATCTTTGTGAAGCTAATGAAAGTTGTAGGTCTGTCTCCCTGACCAAAATACACATGACCACAATTTTGTATGCTCTTTGGCCCGCTGCTTAAGACTCTCAGACTCTGATATGCATCTTTTTTTTTTTTTTTTTTTTTTTTTTTGAGATGGAGTCTCGTTCTGTTGCCCAGGCTGGAGTGCAATGGCACAATCTCAACTCACTGCAACCTCTGCCTCCCAGGTTCAAGCGATTCTCATGCCTCAAGCCTCCCAAGTAGCTGAGACTATAGGTGTGTGCCACTACGGCCAGCTAATTTTTGTATTTTTAGTAGAGATGGAGTTTCACCATGTTGGCCAGGCTGGTCTCAAACTCATGACCTCAAGTGATCCACCTGCCTCGGCCTCCCAAAGTGCTGGGATTACAGGCATGAGCTACCACACCCAACCTGATATGCATCTTTATAGACATATTTTGAAGCCTAATTTTTTCATTTAATGAACCTGGCACATTTCTCCTACATCATTAAAGAAGCCCCTAAAATATAATTTTTTTTTTTTAAGGCGGAGTTTCGCTCTTGTTGCTGGGGCTGGAGTGCAATGGCGCGATCTTGGCTAACCGCAACCTCCACCTCCCAGGTTCAAATGATTCTCCTGCCTCAGTCTCCCGAATAGCTGAGATCACAGGCATGTGCCACCATGCCCAGCTAATTTTGTTAAAGTATAATTTTTAAAAAGTACCTGCATTAAATTCCATTATATGGCCAGGCGCGGTGGCTCACGCCTGTAATCCCAGCACTTTGAGAGGCTGAGGTGGGCAGATCGCTTGAGGTCAGGAGTTTGAGACCAGCCTGGCCAACATGGTGAAACCTGGTCTCTACCAAAAAATACAAAAATTATCTGGGCGTGGTGGCACACACCTGTAATCCCAGCTACTCAGGTGGCTGAGGTGGGAGGATCCCTTGACCCCAGGAGGCAGAGGTTGCATTGAGCTGAGGTTGCAACACTGCTTTCTAGCCTAGTCAACAGAGTGAGATCCTCTCTCATAAAAAAAAAAACAAAAACAAAACTTCTAGGATACACTAGATGTATGATATACCCTAGTGTATTTAACCAATTGCACCTTTCTTAACATTAACTTTATTTCAGTATTTACTATGATAAATACTTCAGCAATGAATGTGAGATTTTGAAAGTATTCTTTGTAAGATATAGAATTTGGCATGCTTCTAAAAGTGATCTTTTTAATTATACTGATTAGTGTCTACTTTTAACCTTATCATATATTCTTTCTGCCTGCTTTCTTTAGGAATGTTAGTAGTTTTTCTAACCTCATAAATTTATTTGTGAATAGAACGTTGTCGTTTCATAATATTTGATATGTAATATTCTCTTATTCTTATTTTCTGGATATTTTAAAATAGAAGTTTCAATTTCTTCTTTAACCAAAAGTTACTCATGTTATGTTTTCATTGTACTGTGACCAATATGGCCTGTGCAGTCTTTGATGTAAACTATACTGAAGAGCTGCCTGTGGCCCAGTTTGTTATTCATTTTTAAATGTCCTCTGGAAATTAGCAGTTTCCATGTCAATAAATATTAATCTACAATATGATTGTTTGTGGAAGAATGGTAACATTTATTTAACATCCTCTTTTATGAATATTTGCATTGTTACCAATTTTTCACCATATAAATATTCTTGAAGCTAAATTTTTGTTTATATCCTTTATAGTTTCTTTAAGATAACTTCTAAGAGACTATGTGCTAAATCAAAAGTATGTATATTTTAAGGTTTTTTATACATGTTTTCAAGTTGTACTCTAAGAAAGCTATATAAATTTTGTTTCAATTAATGGTGAATGAGAGTCATTTTCCTTGCCATTTCTCCACCCAGCCCAGCACAGCTCAGGCCAAAGACGGTAGACAGAGAACCTTATTTTTATTTTATTTATTTATTTATTTATTTTGAGACAGTTTTGCTCTTGTTGTCCAGGCTGGAGTACAATGGCGCAATCTCGGCTCACCGCAACCTCTGCCTCCCGGGTTCAAGCGATTCTCCTGCCTCAGCCTCCCAGGTAGCTGGGATTACAGGCATGAACCACCACGCCAGGCTAATTTTGTACTTTACTTAGTAGACGGGGTTTCTCCATGTTGGTCAGGCTGGTCTCGAACTCCCGACCTCAGATGATCTGCCCGCCTCAGCCACCCAAAGTGCTGGGATTACAGACATGAGCCACCGCGCCCAGCCAGAGAACCTTATTTACTGACCCATTTTTAGTTCTTTGAGATTTGTGTTGTGTCCTTTGCCTTTTAGATTCATTTTGTAAGTGTTCTTCATATGTCACATATTATCTTTTCCTAGAAAATCATCTGCAGTTGTAAAATTTTTCATTAAAGTACAACAATATGTGTGTATCTTTTAATATCTATGTACATTAATTTTAATTGTATGTATTTGTGTTCCTCTTTTTCTTGGTAACTGTAGCTAGAGGTTGGATGTTTTATTATATTTTCAGAGACAACACTTAGATTTATACAATCTTCTGTTTTCTTTTTTATTATTTAACTTTTGCTTTTATCTTTATTACATTTTCATGTTTGTTTGTTTGAGACATTGTCTCGCTCTGTTGCCCAGGCTGGAGTACAGTGGTGGGATCTCTGTTCACTGCAACCTCCGCCTCCTGGGTTCAAGCAATTCTCCCATCTCAGCCTCCCAAGCAGCTGGGACAACAGGTGTACGCCACCATGCCTGGCTAATGTTTTGTATTTTTAGTAGAGACGGGGTTTCACCATATTGGCCAGGCTGGTCTCAAACTCCTGACCTCAGGTGATCCACCCACCTCGGCCTCCCAAATGCTGGGATTACAGGCATGAGCCACCTGCCTGGCCGTTTTCTTGTTTTTCTTCTATTTGCTTTGGTAATATTAAGAGGAACCCATGGTAATATATTTTCAAATTCTTTTTTAAAAAATAAAGTACTTGGGCTGTGAGTTTTTCTTCACAATTTGACAGTCATTTTCACCCAGCGCAAAAGTGGGGAGGGAGGCTAATTATAATCTTCAGGGAGGCTTTGTCATGTGAAAATATTCCAATGTCCTGTTTTCTCTTTCTCCAGTTGCCTCACTTCAACCTTTGAAGTTTACTCTGTTTAATGCTTTCTAACAAGTGTGTATTTCCCTAGTAAAAAAAAAAAAAAAAAAAAAAAACGGAGTTGTGTGGGGTTTAACCATAGCTCATAAATCTTCGTATGATATTCTCATTATTATTTTGGAGTTATGCTTTTCATTATTAAGTAGTTTAAAATTTTTGTTTCACTTTTAGCTTTGTTTGTGTAAATTTTATAAGTATATTGATATTTTGGTGAAATTTGAAAATGTTCCAAAACCAGTTCATGCTGCTTGAAGTTTGATATGCCACGTAGTTGACCAAACATATCAAATGTGTGAAGCACTGACTGTTGTCCTTGAAATGGAACATCGAAATGATGATTAGCCATGGACCTGGGTAGGATATAGTTTGTCTGGAAAGAGGGTCACAGAATAAGCCCTGAGAGTCTTCTTTGCTGCCGAATCCCAGAATTTGGCACAATGTTTGGCTCCATACAGATGTGTTAAATGAATAAGAAGGGTTGCTTTGTGCCAAAGCTTAGGACCTTGGATTCACCAGTGTTAACAATCGAGGTCCCTGATCATTTTCCGTCTGCTCACCCCAACCCCGGTTTTAATGCCTAGTTCTCATCTATTACACATGGTTATGTTTCATTGTTTGTGTGAGCTGTTTTTTAATGAGATTTATTTTGCTTTTGTTTCTGCCTTTCCACTACTTTATATTTACTCTGAAGGCTGCAAATGAGTGAGAGTGTGTGTGTGTGTGTATTTTTTTAAGGGATTTAAAGGCACAGCCACAAACACATATTTGAGTAAAGTTATGACAGTAATAACATTGAACATGTACCAAGCACATGAGACATGTTAAACCCACTGGGTAAGCACTTTTCTTGCTCATCATCTCAGGTGATCCTCACAAAGACCACCTGCTCAAGGGCACAGCTGGATAATGACAGAATAGAGATTTGTACCTGTAGCCCAGATCAAAAACTGTAGTTATATCCACGTCTCAGGAATCTCATAAACCAGCAACACTAAGCTTTTGCAAACATTGAAAAGTGTCTTCATAGTTTCCTCAGTCTATCCGGTCTTTTACTATGAACATTTGATATTTTCCCCTCTCTCTTGTTTGCAGTGTAAATGTTTCCTTTCTGTGACACCTTCATTCTTTACAAATGAAAGAAAATTATGTCTAGATCCCAGGAACTCATTTGCTCTCATTTGTACAAAGGGCAGGATGACATCATTTTCTATAAATTTTCTAACTGAACTCAGACTGTTTGCAGATTTTAAACCCTCTGACTGATCAAAGGAGAAACTAAGCAGGAAATTTCATAATGGGTTCAGGAGGATGGCACGGGGCTATATTAAACATTTGTATGGTAAAAGCTGCAAAAATGACGGACTGTGTCTATACATTGGAGGAAAAACAGGCAAACATTTAAAACTTCACGTGGTGCCTCTTTATTTTCATATGTTTTCCTGTGTGTAAGTTACACATATTCATTTATAAAAATGTGGAGAAATGAATAAGGCCCAAAGTAAAGAAAATAAAATCTTATAACCCCACCTTGACAGAAGAGCATTTGCTGACATTTTACAGTATTTCTATCTAGAATTTTATTTCTGCATATAAATTTTTTTCAAATATGACCTACACCACGTATTCAGTTTTGCAGTTTGCTTTTTTTCTTTTAAATATGTTTCATTGTGTCATTTTAAAATATTTCAGGGACTTAGAAGCAGTTATTTTATCTTTCTTTTCCTCCTCCTACCTTTAAAGAAACTTAGTTTAAAACCCATTTTAATAACAAAATTATAGAGACTGAGAACAGAGTAGTGGTTTCCAAAGAATAGTAACAGGAATAAGTGGTGGGTGTGACTACAAAGGAGTAGAATGAGGAGGTCTTTGGTTTCATGGAACAGTTCTGTATCATGATTGCAGTGGTGCTCATGCTAACCTATACATAGAGTCAAGTTGCAAAGAACTATACACACAGGTTGGAGGAAGTGAAGGTCCCAGAGGGAACTAGGGGCCCCAGGAGGGAGTGCTTTAAAGGTTGAGAAATATGGTTTGAATGAGGAGTTGGGGGTCCTAGAAGGAGGCTGAAGGTCCAAGAAGTTGAGCGTTGGAAGGTGTGAGATTAGGATCCCAAGGAGTGTTGGAAGTCCAAAGAAGGGCTGAGGGATAGAGAGTGGTAATTCAGAGTCCAAAGAAGAAAGGTGGGGTTGGTAGTGTGTCAGTGGGGGTTGGAGGTGACCTTGCCTCCCATCCCCACTTCCCAGGGCAGACCTGGAGATGAAGAGGGCAGATGCTCACAGTCCTAAGAGTCCAGTGTGCCAGTCACTGAGCTGGGTCTGGTGGCAACTGCTGGCACACTGGGGCTGACCGACCACTGGGTATGACATGGCTGTGGAGGTGACGGAGGAGGTTACCCACTGAGGGGATGCCACTGCACCTCCCCGTTCCCTTCTGCCACATCTGGGCATTAACACCCCTGTCTGTCCCTGTTGCCCTTGCCTGTTACCCATCTAGTTGAGCTGGGGCTGGGAGGTTCCTGCACACCTGGGGAATGGTAGGCATCACACATGCCGCCTCCTCCGTGTCTGGGCCCGGGGCACTGGGTTCCCACATTTCAAGGGCCTCTGGAGTGAAAGCCCATATGTCTTGGAAGCCAGGATGCAAAGGAGGCGCCCAGATTCCAGGTGCTGAAAAGGTTGCTGGTCCATCCAGCAATCCCACCTTTGCCTTCCACTTTATCATGCATCTCAGACTACATCTTGCTGGCCCCGAGGAGGTAGCATTAAGGGTGGCAGAGGTGGCTGCCATGACAGTGGCAGAGTCTATTCAAGAGATGCTGGGTACTGAGTAGGCAAGGGCAAGGGACTGGAGCACTGGGCTCTCGGGGGCAGGGGAGGTGGGAAGAAAGAGGCCTGGTCAGCCACTGACTACGAGAAATGTAGAATAGAGGTGGGTGGGGTGGAAACTCTCAGTAGACCCCAGAGCATCCTCCTCATGCCAGAGGCAGAACTGGAGAGAGACCAAGATTCAGACACAGGTAAAGTCCGAGACAGGGAAAGAAGGAAATCAGAGCCAGGTGCCCACGGAGGTGCTGCCAGTGATGCCCCCACATGCCCAGCACTTTGCCTCTCCACAAGCCCATTTTACAGACACAACAGTGAGGCCAAGAGAGGTGAAAAGAAACGTCCCACATTTGATGGCCCAGGCCAAAGGGATTAGTAGAGGGGATGCTGAGCCCTACGATTTCCACATTCAACCCGGCACCACTCAGGCTGAGAAGGAGGGATTCAGGAGTCATTGAGAAAGACAGGGATGTCCAGGCAGCGAGATGAAAAGAGGCAGAGAGACATGAGTGGGGTGGGGTGGGGTGATGTGGAGGGAGAACGGAGCAGAGGGTGCGGGTGTGGTCCCAGAGCTGGAGGTATGGGCGACCTCGGCACTGAGGGAAGAAGAAAAGAACAGCACGCACATGCACAAATAGGGCCACGTAACAACTGGTGAGCACCCAGGAGCCTAGGGCCACAGTACTGTGCCGGTGTTGGTGATCTCTGGCTACAGTTTATATAAGACATCACTGGGGGAAGCTGGTTGAAGGGTTCACAGGACTCTATGTGCAGGAACTTCTTGTGATTCTGTATAACTTCAAAATAAAACGTTTTTTAAAAACCCACTTTATAGAAACAAAGTGAGGCTTTTTTTTTTTCTAGAAAGACAGCTGACAAACAAAATGAGATTTTAATTAATGAACAAACTGAATACTAAAATGCAGAGTAAAGAATGATAATGTATGGCCGGGCACAGTGGCTCACGCCTGTAATCCCAGCACTTTGGGAGGCTGAGACAGGTGGATCACAAGGTCAGGAGATCAAGATCAGCCTGGACACCATGGTGAAACCCAGTCTCTACTAAAAAATACAAAAATTTGCCCGGTGTGGTGGCAGGCACCTGGGATTACTGGCGCCTGCCACCTGGCAGAGAGGCTGAGGCAGAGAATTACTTGAACCTGGGAGGCAGAGGTTGCAGTGAGCCGAGATTGCACCACACTAGCCTGGGTGACAGAGCAAGATTCCGTCTCAAAAATTAAAAAAGAAAGAAAAGAAAAGAATGATAATGTAAAGCTGCATGTGGTGGTGTGTGCCTGTAGTCCCCAGCTACTAGGGAGGCTGAGGTGGGAGGATCGCTTGAGCCCAGGAGTTTAAGTCCAGCCTGGTTAACATAGCAAGACCCCAGTCTCTTAGAGAAAAAAGAAAATAAAAAGAGTGATATGTGGAAACCAAGAAACCTGGCTTCTGATCCTACCTCTGGCTAGTCTTTAACTTTTAGGCTTCATTTTCTTTTATGGGAAATAAGAAAATTGCGCCAGAAAATTCTGAGACCACGTCAAGCTCTGTTATTCCATAGGGTGTATAGATTTCTGTAAATCTATATTTTGCCAAATATAGAATGAATGCCAATTGTATGTTAAATATAGTACAGAGATTGGGGCTTGTCTAACTTTGCAATAGGCAAGAAGTCTATTTCTGCCGCTTTCTGTGTGTCTGCCTATCACTGTATTAGACATCAAGGTGATATAGTAGGACTTAGTCCTTAAAGGACCTCAAGAGGGTGATAGACACATAGGAAGTACCTATATACATGCTAGATTACAAAACAGATAGTGTTAATGTTTGTTTATGTGCTAAAATGTGTGATATGCACAATACCTCCTCTAGACATTCTGAAAGAGATACTGTAGATTGCAGTATGTCCAAGAAAGAAGTGGAATTTCAGACATATGAATACCCTGGTTTTATCGTTAATTGCATCTCATAATATGTTACAAGGACCAGGCTGAGCCAGGCACGGTAGCTCACGCCTGTAATCCTAGCACTTTGGGAGGCTGAGGCAGGCGGATCACCTGAGATCAGGAGTTGGAGACCAGCCTGACCAACATGGTGAAACCCTGTCTCTACTAAAAATACAAAAATTAGCTGTGTGTGGTGGTGGGCGACTCAGGAGGCTGAGGCAGGAGAATCGCTTGAACTGGGGAGGCGGAGGTTGCAATGAGCCAAGATTGCACCATCGCACTCCAGCCTGGTGGACAAGAGTGAGACTTCGTCTCAAAAAAAAAATGTCGGGGAGGGGACCAGGTTGAATATCTCATAGATACTTTGCTGTTCACTGGGCTACAGCCACTCATCCCCTTTGATTCTAGGCTTAGACTTACTCTGTAGTTTGAGCTGTTGCATTAATAGAGGGTAAACTTACCTAGATTTACTTGGTATTTTTGCTTTTCTCTTTTTTTCTCTCCTGACTCCTCCTTCCCCTCCAACCTAACTCCAGCTGAAAAAAGGAAGGGTGGGCAGACTGTGGACTCTGGCCTCCCACTTCTAAGTGTGTCTGATCCTTTCATTCCTCTTCAAGTACCTGATGCACCAGGTAGGTAAATAGAAATGTTCTGAGGTTAAACAGCTTGATTTGCATGTCCCAGGCCCTGTGGAAAGTTCTGCCTTAAACACCCCATGAAAAGGATCTGAATTCCAAGCCCTAATAATAGGCTGCTGTTGCATAGTTTTACTCAATAAGAGGGGTAAACTTGTCTTGGAGGGTACTAGCCCTTAGCAAAGATAAAATCAGTTCAGGTTATACCAGATTGATTTCCATATTATGTCAGTGTTCAGTTTTTCATCCTTGATGGTGTTAAAGGTGACATGAGGGGCCTACGTATTGGAAAGAACATTAGTCCAATATGGTTATAACAATGGCGGGGAGCCTGTAAGCACATGATAAAGTGAACAAAATATGAATAGTGGTGATAGCGTGATAATGGGATTATGGGTGACTTTTGTTCAGTTCTTACTTTTCTATAATGTCTTTTTATTTTATAATATAAAAACACATAATAAAAATTAGGGAATGTGATAATAATTAATAGGGAATGTGAGTCAGGAAACCTGGGTTCCCTTCCAGCCTCTGCCCCTACCTGAAAAACCTTCTGGGCTTGGATCGTCATCGGTGAAGTGCATTGGACTGCAGGAGTTTCAATATCTCTTGTAGTCCACCATATCTCAATTTTAAGTAGCAGTCTAAAAAGTAGAAAGTGGTTGGTGTGTTCTGACAGAAAGAACTTTTGGAACAGTGAGTGACTGGATGCTTCCCATTTGGAGTTCAGGTTGCCAAAACTTTTCCTTCCGGCTTTCCTCCCCTACTCTTTTTGGTGGGAGGAGTGATGTGGGAAAGAGTGGCCGTCCTTTCTCTTATCTGTCAGTCTCTTCACAAAAGCAAATTGTTCCAGCTCCTTAGAAGCAGTTGACAGTTGTTTTGCTTCTGATCATTTTTCCTTTTTTCCTGTTGTTGCCCCTGCCAACTCTTGACCTTGAACTGATAGGACTGGCTTGGTTCTTTTTCTCTCCCAAAATATTAAAGGTATTTGATTGCTTGCTTCAAGATTGGAGTGATTGCGATGTTCATATCCTTTACCAAGTCTTCCCACCATCACTTACTAAGACAGACTGCAGCTAGGGTACCAAGGCAGTTTTTATTTTTTATTTTTAGACAGATTTGTTTACCCCTCTAAGGAGAAGCAAACATTTGCCTTGATCAGGTGGTACTCTATAACTGTATAGCTTACTGGAGCTAGATGTAGCTTAAAAATATCGAAAACCACTAAGGAATGATTCAATACAGGATAGTTTAAAGGAAGAAAGGAATGAAATAGAGGCGCTTTCTTCCTTTGCACTTTTCAGGTATGCCTGGCAGTACTTGGACAAGTTCATTTTGAACAGAAGGTTAGAAAAGTGTGGGCTGTAAACTCCAGCTGGGGCTGACTGTCTTTTCCTCCCTGTTTTGGTAATCATGGGATCAGACAAGGGAAAGAGGTGATGGAGGCATTCTCGTTTTGACACCCCTTCAGGTTCTTGCTTTGCTGTTGCTTAGGTAGCTCATGGGCTGCAGAAGCCAGGAGGAAGGCCTCTTTGCACAGGGCAGAGGATGAGGGCCCTCAGGCAAGTAACTGTCCTGTGCAGCTGTCACAGGAGTCCTCTGGATCAGGGTTGAAGAGCCAGGCACATGCCCCAGGTGGCTCAGGAAATCGGCTCCAGCTTGTGGAAATGCATCTGGGGCCACCAGAGCCAGCTGGCTGCCATCCTGCCTGCCTTCTTGTCATCTTTCCTGTCTCCTGGTCCTCCATGCTTCTTTCATCCCTGTGGATTCCCGCTGAAATGTTACTGGTATACACTTTAATACCAATTAAGCCAAGACCTCTCTTGGGTTTCAGTGGAAAGATCAACTAAAATGAGACATTTTAATAGAGAATTCCAGGAGTGTGCTATTTACTTTCTGCTCTGTCAGACCGGACTCATCTGTTGAAAACATAAGGTAGACAGTTAACTCTTCTGTGCGCTGGCGAATTCTCACATCACTGAGGGGGCATAAAATCCAGGCTGCTTACTGCAACCTGCAAGGCCCTGAGTGGTGTGGCCCTTGCCTGCCCCTCTAATCTCAGCTGATAGTGCTCTTCCTCTCCATCTTGTCTTTCCTCCAACAAGCTGAGCTCCTTCCCACCCCAGGGACTTTGCACTTGCTGGTGCTCAGCTTGGAAAGCCTTCCCTTCAGCTTTGTTCCCTTGTATCGTTCAACATGTGGGTCTCCGTTTAAATGCCGTCTGCTCAGAAGGCCCAGTGTGGTCCAACGGGCACTCCCAGTCACATGCCCTGGCACTTTTTCTTCATAGCCCTTATCAGGACATAGTCCATCTTTCCTCATCTTATCACTGTCTGAGGGTGGGGCCTCATCTGTCTTATTTACCACCTTTATCAGCTGTGCCAAGGACACTGCCTGTATTCAGTCAGTGAGTATTTACAGATCAGACAAATGAATGAAATAAAACCAGAGGCTGGAAGCCTTTAGGTGGCCCCATTACCCTCCATTTCTATCCCAGCTCCCAGGCACCAGACGACTGGCTCCATAGCCTTCCATCTGCACCTCTGCCAACTCCTGGGCAGTCCCCACACACCCACTCTTTGAGAGTGAATAAAGGAAGACACAGCCCACAGTGTCAGGCAGCTGCCAGCCCCTGGACTGATGAGAATAGTAGCTAGGCTCAGCAGGTCCTTTAGCCCCGTCCTTTCATGGTGTCCTGCAGAATTGTGCTAAGTATATTATATTAGCCACGGTGGCTTTGACTATTCTGCTTATTTTAACATTCAGCCTCTAGCACATTCAGTTACACAGCTTCTATATCAAGGCCACTGCATCCTTTTTTAACATTTTTAAATATTGAGTGAGAAAAGGGCTCAGGGTTCCGTGTCTCTGGAACCTGGGGAAACTACAAATTTGGTTTTACCCTGCAAAAAGCAAGCAGTCTGTCACACCATCGGCCCACTATGGACACCAGTCAGGTTTTTTGCCTGGTTTTCTTTCTTTGTTTTGTATACATATTCATCTACTCTCAGCTATATTGATGATAAGAATCATGAGAGGCTGGGTGTGGTGGCTCACACCTGTAATCCCAGCACTTTGGGAGGTCGAGGCGGGTGGATCACCTGAGGTCAGGAGTTCGAAACCAGCCTGACCAATATGATGAAATCCCTGTCTCTACAAAAAATAAAAAAATTAGCCAGGCATGGTGGCATACGCCTGTAGTCCCAGCTACTCAGGAGACTGAGACAGGCGAATTGCTTGAACCCTGGAGGAGGAGTTTCCAGTGAGCTGAGATCACACTACTCCACTGTCGCCTGGGTGACAGAGCAAGATTCTGTCTCAAAAAAAAAAAAAAAAAAGAATTGGCCAGGCGTGGTAGCTCACACCTGTAATCCCAGCACTCTGGGAGGATGAGGCAGGTGGATCAGAGCTCTGAGGTCAGGAGTTCAAGGCCAACCTGGCCAACATGGTGGGACCCTGTCTCTACTAAAAATACAAAAATTAGCTGGGCATGGTGGTGGGCACCTGTAGTACCAGCCACTCAGGAGGCTGAAGCAGAAGAATTGCTTGAACCCGGGAGGTGGAGATTGGAGTGAGCCAAGATCGCGCCACTGCACTCCAGCCTGAGTGATAGAGCAAGAATCCATCTCAAAAAAAAAAAAAAAAAAGACTCATGGACTCTCAGTCTCCTGAAGACCGTGCCTTTCAATGACTTTTAACATTTTTATTTTATACTTTTAAAATGATCACATACCAGTACCTTTGATCTTACAGATACTGGGGAGTGGTAGGTGGTAATGTCAAGTAACGCCCTCATTGTGTGGGTGAGGAAGTGAGGCCCTAGTGTTGTTCTGACTGTGCTCGGCCACACATTCCTTCTCTTGCCCACAGTCCCCAAACAGTGGATATTTCTTTTATCTTTGGGACAGTTCCTAGATCAATAAAGCCTTTGACCAGAGAGCTAAATTTAAGGCTTTGGGAAATATAAAAATAGATTTGAAACTGTTAGACCTGAGTTCTAGCCATTAGTGGCTAGGTGATTGTGGTCAAATCACTTAAATTGTACGTTCTTATCCTTAAAATTGGCAATACTAAAACCTACCTCATGGGGTGTTCTCAAGGTTTAGATGAAATCATATATTTGAAATTTCTATGTGAATTTTAAATTACTATAAAGATGGGAAATGCTGTTTCAACTTTGGTTCTACATCCCTATTCCCAGTGGGGGAGTCCTAGTTATCATAAAGTGATATTTTTCTCTTGTTGAAATTAAACTTGCTCTTATGACCTTTAACTTTTGCACAACTGAGAGCCATTAAAATAGATTTCCTGGATACAGTGATTGTCAAACTATGGGTAAAGGGCACTGGATAATTATAGGTTGGTTCGCTGGTTTGTTTTAAGGAACGTTTTTATTTTTCAAAGCACTATAAAACCAATTTTCTTAGAAGGTCTGGAATATGAAAATCATAGCCATGAACGTTTGTATGCTTACAAAGCTGCCAAATGATGCATGGCTAGTGAGTCTCAGAGTATTTCATTGATGCTGAAATGCTGCTTGTCCATTTATTTGCCTTCTGTATGCATTAGGAAACAGATAAGCTACAAGTAGTACCAGCGTTTTAAAATATGGTAGAAAAGAGGCTGGGCCAGACTCATGCCTATAATCTCAGCACTTTGCAGAACCAAAGTGAAAGGATCACCTGAGCCCTGGAGTTTGAGAGCAGCCTGGGCAACATGGTGAGACCCTGTCTCTAAAAAGAAAAAAAATTTTTTTAATTAGCCAGGCATAGTGGTGCATGCTTGTAGTCCTAGCTACTTGGGAGGCTGAGGCAGGAGGATCCTTTGAGCCCAGAAGTTTGAGGCTGCAATCAGCTATGATCACACCACTGCACTCCAGCCTGGGTGTGACAGAGCGAGACCCTGTCTCTCAAAAAATGTGTGTGTGTGTATGTACACACACATAGATATATATTAGAAAGATGGAGGAATTTTCTCTGAAAATTGGGGACAATATT